AGAGTGTATTTTACAAGCCACAAACGCAGTACAAAGAGCTGCTCAGCAACCATCTACTACATTACCAGTTTTTTTGAGACATGCAAAACATGACTTTTGCACAAACATTGCTATATTCTGAAATGCCAAAAATTTATACTTGGAATCAATCTCAAGGAGATTATACGACGGAAACAAGGAAACAAGTTCCAGGTTACCCAGATGTGTATTCCACCGATCCATTGGTCGAATTTATTCAGTACAATCCAAGCAATGATGATTGTTTTTATTACGACTGCTATTAGTCAATGTTACGTGGCCCAACATCATTCCCAACATTTACGAACTGTTGATGGTGAATTGTGTGGATCTTACAGAGAACTGTCAACGTTTGCAATTGCTAGAAAAGCACACTCATTGGGATCAAACTCTCAATGATGCTGTAATATATCAAAAACACGCATCAAATACGAACATTGTTTCTATAATCATATCTACGTGTTCCATCAAACCCAATGGATTTGTGGATCAAGTACAAAGATTATATGTGTAATGATATTTTGTATCAAATACGAAAGAGAATGGGAACATCCAAATATACAAACAGTGAAGAAATTTACAATGAAGCATAGATTTCATTGAGGACCATGTGCTGATGATGTCAAACAAACTATTAATTCAATTAGGCCTGACGCGCGCCACTAGTCCAATGCATGATGCTTTAACCAAGAGTTGAATCGAAAAACTGTATGATCTCAACACTTTGAAAGAATTCATTCAAACTAATCTTCCCACTGTTGAATACAACAGAAGTATGTATTTGACTCTTATGAAGTAACAAATGATGAGAAACTGGAGGGATTTACTTCTTAGATGCACCTGGTGGTACAGGAAAAACTTTTTGATTTCATATATTAGCAACGATTCGCTCACGAAAATAAAATTGCACTTCACTCGCTTCGTCGGAATGCGCAGCAACTTTGCTGAAGGTGGTCGAACAGCACATTCAGCATTAAAATTGCCATTAAATATGCAAAGCAATGAAACTTCGACCTGCAACATTTCGAAGAACTCTGCAATGGCAAAAGGTCTTGCAGCAATGTAAATTAATTGTTGGGATGAATGCACAATGGCACAAAAAATCTTTGGAGGCTTTAGACAGAACCTTAAAAAAGATCTACGGAGCAATCATAACCAATTGGTGGTGCAATGATTTTATTAGCAGAGATTTTCGTAAACATTGCAGTGATTCCACGATCAACACAGTGTATGAACTCCATGCATGTCTAAAGTCCTACAAATTGTGGAAACATGTCAGAGTACTTTATTTAAACAAGAATATGCGTTCGAGTGCAAAAATGACCAATACTGAAACATAGTCTCTAAACAACTCATTGACATTGTAATGGCAAATTTCCTATAGACATGTTGACTGGCTGCATTAACTTTCTTCAAAGTTAACTGTCAGTTAACTCGATCAAAAGATGAACTTACAGAAGGTGTTTCCAGATGTTTCTCAAAATTACAGAAACCATGATTGATGAGCGAACGAGCTATATTGCGTGCAAAAAACATTATGTAAGTGAATTTAAATTTAAAAATTCACAGAACAAATTACAGGCGAATCGAGGATATATAAATCAGTTGATTTGGCTACTAACCAGATATGTAGTGGAACTATCCACCAGAATTTTTAAACTCGCTGGATTTACCAGGATTCCACCTCACAATCTTCAATTAAAGATTGGATCGGTAGTTATAATGTGCGAATACAACCAACCACGTCTTTGCAACGGCACACGGTTAGCGATAAAAATTACTAAACAACTGATAGAAGCAAACTATACTGAAAGGAAAGTATAAAGGAGAAGACGTTCTCATACCCGCATCCCAATTGATTCCGACTGCATGTGCCGTTAACTTTAAACGACTACAGTTTCCAGTTTCGTCTTGCTTTTGCTATGACCAATAAAAAAGTCCCACGGCAATCATTACGTGTTTTGTGGTATTAATCTGGAAAACCATGTTTCTCACATGGTCAATTGTATGTTGCCGGTTCCCGTGTTGGAAAACCATCAGATTTGTTTGTCTATCGCCAGGTAATCAAACAAAAAACATTGTATATCACAAAGCACTACAATGAAAATAAAACTGATTTTTGTTAATAATTATGATTCACATTGATTAACCATAAAGCGATTACTTACTTTTAAATGCTTATATATTATTATTTAATTAATTTCTTATTCACAACGCCCCTATCAACCAGGGTGACGGTTCTGTTCAGGAGAATTTTTTACCAGACTATAAAATATGTAGGAAAAAAAAACTGTCACATTACAAATCTTTTGGACAGGACGAAGTCTGTTGGGTCGCTAGTATATTATATAATATGTCTTAAATTATTTATTTACGTAACATTAATGCTTTGCCTTTTATGGGATGTACGCAAATAATAATAATAATAATAATAATAATAATAATAATAATAATAATAATAATGCCTTTAAACTAATATCCATCACTGTATAGTCACATTTTGCAACACAACTCTTTCCTGGTGCATGTCTGTTGTATTTAGACATGCAAGAAACTTGGTAACGTTTGATGTAAAGAGGACATTTAGCACCTAAGAAAAAAAGCTAAGGTGTAAGGTAAGGGATACATACTTACTAATCTCAGAAGAATCGCTCATTATAAAAACCACTCTCAGGAATGAAACCACTCGATTTGAAGTTGTTCGTTTTACATAGTGAGAAATTGTGTCCGCCATAAAGACTTTATGGAAATAACACACTTAAGTATATGTAAAAATACTGTGTACCAAGAAAAATATTAACAAGGTGTATGATGATACTTTTAGAATGTTTTGAAGAAACAAATACAAATTATTTCAAAGTTCGTATTTAGCACAGATTGGCAAACATTCTGTGATGGCTTCATTAAGTCAGCCTTATTAGCGATTCACAAAACGTTTGAGAAAAATGAGGTCGCTTTATAAATTTTTTAAATTGAATTTTGGGCCAAAACCTTCAACACTTTAATTGATACTGACAGTGTAAAGCATTCGAAAGGAATTGACAGTGTAAAGCATTTGACATAGTATTCTTGTGGGCGTTTTACTATTCGTTATATCTTTATTCAGCGTTTTTGCAATCCCATATTACGACGTTCAATAGGTTATCAACATGAACTGGCAATCTTTTTTGTAGAGTCTTGAGTACCCTGATGACACTGACCCCATTGCATTACAGGAAATCCCCAGCGGGTATAAACATATAAAATGGAGAATTTTCTTCTCGAGAAATCGACTCATTGATATATAACTGTTTTTATTGTAAATAAGGCATAGGATATACAGATTCATCCTTCTCTCAAGAATGTCTTTTGGGTGAGTAAATAAAAAATCTTAACACATTAATAACTGACATATTTGTACAATTATTTTAGAATATTTATAGTATAATGATACTTATTTAATCTTACATAACGTGTGTCTTATATTTTTTAATTCTTAGGCAATATTCTATGTTATATCTACTGGTCTTTCTATCTGTTTTCACAACGAACATCACTTCTTCCTTGTGGTAGTACACAATTAGACAATCCTTGTAGACTCGTGAGCTATTAATCTGTTTATTTATAAGAGCAATTTTTTGTATGCGTTTTTACTTTTTCATTCATGGCTTAAATTAACACACTACAGGGAAATATATTGCCACTCGCCTTAGGATTTTAATTTCATTGGTTTCTAGTATTCTTCATCTATATGTAGTATGACTCAATTTTCACTTTCACAAAATGCATAATGAGTACTGACACTAACCTTCGAAATTCTACGAGGGTATCTGTATTTTTTTCTGAATGTACTTTTTTCAGGAGACTTATTGTAATTATATCTTTCTATTCTATTGCATTTTATTCTGTTGAAGGCCAGTAATTTTACATCCAATACATTTAAAGATTGTAACTGTAGTACACATTCCAAATTAATTTCGAGTAATTATTTGCTTTCCTACGAATGTGACCATTTTGGTTTTTACTTCAATATTTTTGTGACAGATTTTAGAAGTATTTAAGTATTTAATGGAGCACAAAAACTGATTTTTGTCTTAAATATTATTTTGAATAGCTTGATCATTTGGATATGGAGTTGTCATAAATCTCTGTTGAATACAATCTAGGAGAATACAATATTAATATGGATATCCATTATCAATTATTTTGTCAATATAAATGGTAAATAAAATAGGACATCAACTGCACTCTTGTTTAGTCCTAACTTAGTTTATCTCCCGTTTCATTGATTGTTTTGTAAACATACGATTATTTATATATGAAAAATATTAGGAAAATTGATGTACTGGTCCTCTTTAGCTTATAATTTTTGATTTATTGTAATTAATGAATGTGGATTTCTTTATTACATTTTCGGTATTTCTGTAATATTTGTTGTATTAGAAAACCTCGATCTATCAAGATGAAATTCTTGTCCTTCCAGAATGGCAACGTGTATTATTGGTTTAAAATTTTCAGCAATTTAATTTTAAATAGATATTGTACGCTTCGTTTTGTAGAAATATTCCTCTATAGGTTTTCGACTGAGTTCCATTTTTATCCGTAAATTTGTTTTATCGCAGGAACGCACCATGCCGGAACGCAGAATGGGCGTGGGCGCTGATGCTGGTGCTGGCGTGCGTGGAGGGGTGGGGGCTAAACGAAGGATTGTTCCAGTACTGGAGCGTGAGCGCGGTGCCTGTTGGCGTGCACAGAAGGCGCGAGGCGTGGGCGTGGATACTGGTCTGGCGTGCGTGGCGTCGTGGGGCTAACGAAGATTGTTCCAGCGTTGGAGCGTGAGCGGCGGTGCTGTTTGGCGTGCACAGAAGGCGCGAGGCGTGGGCGTGGAAGCTGGTGTGGGCGTGCGTGGCGGTGTGGGGGCTAAACGAAGGATTCGAGCGTGGTCGAAAGCGGTCCGAAAGGAGTGCGTGAGCCGTTGTGGCTGTTAGTGTGTGCAGAGCGCGATGGCGTGGGCGCCATGGCGCTGGGGCTTGCGCGTGCGGTGGCGGGGCGGGGGCTAAAGAAGGATTGTTCCAGCGCTGGAGCGTGAGCGCGGTGCTGTTGGTGTGCGCAGAAGGCGCGTGGCGTGGGGCGCTGGCGCTGGTTGTGCTGGGTGGCGTGGGGCGCGCGGGGGCTGGTGCGCGCGCAGCAGTGCGGCGCGTGGCGGCGAGCGTGGCGGTGGCAGCAGCGGAAGCCTCCGGCCACTGGGAGGCGCAGTGTGTGCTGGAGCGGCCGGTCGGAGGCGCCGGGCGCGGGGGCGGGCGAGGTGCGGCTGGACGTGGAACCCTCTACCGCCATCTGCGGGGGCGCTCGCGTCGACACACTCACGCTCACCATCAGAGGTGAGAAACAAACTACATTACTCTTTAAGCATGACACACTTATAGACACTACACGGTTTATACATTTAAAGAATTCACACATCATTAGCTAATGTACTATTAATACATCATGAATAATAGCAGGTGAACTTTGCAAAAAAGATTCTCCATGGAAAAATAGTCACACTATACCGTCAAATGAGATGTTAAGTATTGCATATAGTCTTTGGAGACGTGCAGTCGTGCAGGCGTGCAGTCGTTATTCGTGGTGTGGAATCATTCATTCTACTATGTGAATGCACTATACTATCCGATATTTCAACGTTCGTTTTCCATGTGTACATGCTATTCTAATGCCTCTCCAGGCCGCGAGTGGAGGGGAGGGTTCTGGACTCAACCCCCGAGAGGTTTGTAGATCGTAAATGTCATGAAAGAAACCTTACTTTACAGCTGGCTTCCTACAATTTATAACTAGATGGTTTTCATGAATTCGCTTCATAATGTAAATTACATTAAAACACAATACGTAGAAATGGACTGTTACTGTCCTTTCGGTGGTTCCTACGTGGAAATGGAATGTTACGGTGATCTCTGCCCGAACCCACTGCAGAGCCAAAAAATTGGTACACGTTGCGTAATATCATGTAGGATTCCTGCGAGCAGCAGACGTGTCGCAACACGGCGGGGCATGGACTCGTCTAATATCTGAAGGAGTGCTGGAGGTAATTGACACGGTGGATCTACAGGAATGTCCATAAACTCGTAAGGTTTACGAGGAGGTGGAGATCTCTTCTGAACAGCACAATGCAAGGCATGCCAGATATACTCAATCATGTTTATGTCTGGGGATTTTGGTGGCCAGTGAAAGTTTAAATTCAGGAGAGTGTTGCTGGAGCCACTCTTTATCTCTTCTGGACATGTGGATTTTTGTATTGTTCTACTGGAATTGCCGTAGTCCGCCGGGAAGCACAATGGAAATGAATGGGGGCAGCAGATCAGAGAGGATGTTTTTGTACGTGACACACATCAGAGTAATATCTACACGAATTAGGCTCCCATATCACTCCAATCGCACACGCCCCATACCATCACAGGGCCTCCACAAGCTTCAAAAGTCCCCTGTTTACATGCAGGGTCCACGAAATCATGAGGTTGTCACAATATTCGTATACGTCAATCCTCTCAAAACAATGTGAAACAAGACTTGTCATATGTGTTTCCAGATATCAGCAGTCCAATTTCGGTGTTGACGGGTCCAGGCTAGACGTAAATCTTTACGGAACGGTCACGGTACAGTCGTGAAATGGTCGAACGGGAAAATCCAAATTACTTCGGGAACTCTGAGATGCTATGCCCCATCGCTCTTGCGCCGACTATAACACCACGTTAAAACGTATTTAAATCGTGACAATCTGCCATTAGCAGTAGCATACAGATCTAACAACAGTGCCCGATTCTGGTTGGCTTGGATAGTCATTGCCTACCGGAGCGCCGTACTCTGATTGGTCCCAGAACTCTATTTCAATACGTACGGCTGTACCAGATTTTTGGCTCTTCAGTGTATATTCGTGAGTCATAACTATTGCATCTTGATTCTGCACGCGTTGTATAAGAGCCTTGTGGTGAACATCAACATATTGCGTGAAACGTAGTTTATCGTAAAACAACGCGAAAACATTAGGCAAGACGTGGAAAGAGTTCCTTCAATTTCCATCATTGCCTGTGTAACCTTGAAAGTGTTCGGTCTGCAGTGCATTTGATTTTAATTGGCGGAAATTCATCTTGGCACTGAGAGGCTGAGTACTTTTTGCGTAAATTTTCCTTGAATGAAGAAACTTTGTGAGCCGGCTTTGATAACATAGTCGCTAAGTCTGAACTTCGTGTTACACTCGTCGCATGATAGAACTTATCTTCCAATGAACTAAAAATTTTAACATTTTTTAAATATAATTTTATGCTTTATTCTTTAATGTTCTAAATTTGATATAAACATGTATATACGAGCATTACTGGATACATTGTATTATATCAATTTCACAAGTATTGTTCAAATGTTAATTTTCGACATTTCTATGCAGTGTTTTCGCAATTTAGTTTCATTCAGACATTGAACCCATCGAGTCATGGAGTTCTGTTTTCGTACTATGAAATTACAATATTATTCGTGTCTCTTGAAGATTGTTTGAAACAACTATTGCCAATAACAAAAAAATTAATTCCATAAATAATCCGAACAATATTTCATAATACCTCGCAATAGTACACGGAAAAGTTTGTCAGAATAAATGGATGTATTCCAGTTAAGATTTGTAGGTACAAACCGAGGGGATTATTTCTTTTCATGCTTTAAACAGAATTAATTATTCTTATGATCTCTATTGTACAAAAAAATGGCTAGTAAGGATTTGGATTTTCTTTAGCAAGAATGTTAAGACACTTCCAAACCAACTCTATATAAAATTGTAAGAAACATCTTTTCAATTAATTAATTCAGTTATTGAATGCTCTTTAATCTCATATCAGAGAATGTTCCAACAAAATTCGCTGTTCGTTTAACATGATTATATATTACGTTATTATATTTTGTAGGAATTATTTTTAATTTCCGATCTAATAAGTATTTACGTAAAAAATACGTCATGTAATGCAGTTCTAAGTGTGAAAGTGATCAGGGAAACCTCTTTTCAAGATAGCTAACCAACAAATTGAAATCCGACACGGGCCAAGAACTCACTATTGTTCAACACATGAAGCAAATTTCTGGCGCCTTGGTGGATCTCTACTAGCATTATTTGATATTTCATTTCAGGTGTATAATGTGTATACACGCGATGTACTGTGGGATACGTGGCGCGATATACGTATCACATGTGTATTGAGTAAAATAAATGATCTGCGTGTTAAAATAGTTTTGGAATATGGATAATTTGTTAAGAATATTGCAATCGAATCAATTAGTGACAAAGGTAGAGTTTTATTGTGATTATTTCAGTGTGTTGTTTTTGTGTCCGTCATTCGTAGGTCCTCCTCCGCCTCCAGGCCCAGGGTATGTGAGTGTTCCTGGGGTCGGATATTACCGCATTCACAAAGAAAATCGTACATGGGCAGAGGCGAAGGCGATTTGCGAAGCAGAGGGCGGCCATTTGCTCATCATCAACTCGGAGGCAGAGGACAAAGCGATTCAGCAGCTGTTGAAGCAAGAACAGAAACTTTCCACATGGATCTTCATCGTATTTAGCGATATAGAGAAGGAGGGTTCCTATTTCACAATTTTTGGTACGCATTTATATTAAATTTGTTCAGGATTGTTAATAGCACACTTAACCAGTTCACAGATTTCTTAAAAATAGTTTAAGTAATAATAGTAAAATAGTTTAAGATTTCTTTGGAATAAAGGGCTACTTTTAAAATGCATGTGGTTGAAGCGACCCCCACTTAGGGTTTGGGTTGTGCATTCAAATGCGAAGAAGGCACTTTTTCACAATCCGTAATTACCTAATATTCTGCCGGAAAATGTAAAAAAACACCAAATAGACCTCTGAAGATGCATTCATCACTTTCTAGGGTCTCCGAGAGGCGAGTATCCATTATCTGTGCTCCACTCCTTTTGGGGGTTTGGTGCAAGTGCAAGTGCGTGACGCTATTGCTTCGCTACCGCTTTCCTTGCAGGAGATCCGCTGTCGGCTCTAGGCTACGCTCGCTGGAACCCTGGACAGCCTGACGACTACAAGAACAGAGAAGACTGTGGAAGCGTGCACTCGGCTACAGGGGACCTGAACGACCTTCCTTGCAACGCCAAAGTTGGATTCATTTGCGAGCAACGTTTAGTTTAGAATTTTTTACAAGATTCCGCGGAGCAAAAAACAAAGGTAAATTTAACGGAGTACTTGTGTCCCGATTGATTATTCCTCTTTAGGACCATAAAGTTTCGATATGTGTAACGACCTTGAGTAATACTGAAGATTAGGGGTGTATTCACTGAATTAGTGAATTCATTGAAAAACATATTGCTATTAAATTAGTCATTAGTTGTTAATACGTAATACTTATTCTGGTTATAGCATAATATCTAACATGCGTAATGTTAATACTGTTGTACTGTAATAGATCAATGGATATTCTATAGTACAAAATAATCAGTAGTTGTTATTGGCAACTATTCTATATTGGATGCTGTGAACTGAATTTTTTGTTATTTTGAATTCTGCTATTTGAAATAGATAGAATATTAGATACTGTTAGCAACTAGTGAAAAAGTAGTTATGCATCTAATTTTTATCTGTATATAAAAACTTGCTTGAACACTTACTAAATTTAACGACACACACAATCGAGACATTTGAAGACACCATTTAACCATGGAACAGAGACAATACCAAACGGGATGGTGAAAAAGTAATTTAACTATTTACATGGCAATCCTAACTACAGGCTAGCACTTGAAATAAGCCACCATTTGCTCTTTACCTAATCTATGCGCCGCCCTAGATATCTCTTTGAGCTTCTCTACAGGAGTAGCAATACAGCTTGAAAAAAGAAAGTTACGAAATAACGCGTAATTCACAATACTGCCGCTAGGAGAATGTGTCTGTGAGAATGGTCTAGTTTATGTAACCCACTTCGACAGAGCTCGCTCAGGTTGACATTACCTTGGCGGTCCTCGGACAGGCGCCAAGTCGTGTCGAGCGTAGATGGGGGTGGAGTAGACGTGGCCGGTCGCCCAAGAGCCTGCGGTGAACTTTAGCCGTAAGCATCAAAGCACTGGATAGGATGACGCACAAACTACAGAAGGCTCATTACACAGTTCAATATCATGTATTAGGTTAAGGCTCCTAACTATTTTGGACAGACGCCGTAGGCGCGCAGGCGGAGAGCGAGAATTCAGTTCAATGTTCGTTAGCCCGGCAGTTAATATAGTAGTTTATATAATAGTAATATAATAGTATATATAATATATATAATAGTTTATATAATAGTATAATATAGTAGTAAAGCAGTGGAGTGCCGCAAGGCTCTTGGCGAAAACCAATCACAATCCCCCGTCACTAAGCTTCGGTGCTTCTGACGTCGCAGTGCCCTCCGGCGCACCGGGCCCCCAACAGGCGACAGGACTGGGAACCCTCGACCCCCCTTCGCTACGTAAAACACAAGCGATTTATAGAAACCTTCCTGCCATCTTGCTGTCGGCGGCACTCACATCGTTAGTGTAGTGGGCGCTGTGAGGAGACGGGGACCAGGGTCCCCGGACAAGCCTCGGGGACCGAGATACTCTTGGCGCATGTGACTGGCGCTTAATTAGGCTCCGATGCCAGTCAAGAAAACAAGTGGCCCTGATCTGGCCGGTCTACTTGGAATTAAATGCGGAGTCATTCATATGGGGTGTTGCGTACCTGCACAACCGGGTTTTAGCCTGCCCACGAGTCTCCTTCGTGACACAGAACTGACGTGTTAGCGGGCAATCGTGAGCACACAACTGTCGGTTGTCCGCTTGAGAGAGCGTCAGATGTCGTTATCATGGGACGTTACCGGAGGGTTTAATTTTGCCGGACACCTGCCACAGTTCTTTTACATGTCACAAGCGGAAAGGTCTCTGTGGACTTCTTCGCCCTTCAAAAATTCATGAACCTCCACCGGCGTCCAATCCGGGCACTGGTGGTTCAGAGATCGTAAGCCAAACACTCACCCGCAGCTAGAAGCAGTGACGTTTGACTTTTGACAACCGACTGTTATTATTGACAAGGTGTTTCTAATTTGCTTTTACGATTTCTCCGGGACACATCGGTGGCTTGGAGCCAGAAGGGCCAATGCCATTATTCGTTTTTTAAAGAATCGGCGCTGTTCTTATACCTTCGAATTGCTAAAAAATCGTAGACCAATGTAAATGTGAAATTAGAAGTTATTATCGACTTTTGCCATTGCTTTTTCTTGCACTGCAAGGGCTTTAAAGCTTTGGCCTTACGAACCTGACTCTTGCCCTTCTTGCGCCATGATACAGAAATAATTTAAATCAGTCGTAATTTTATTAATGCACACCATGCAGAATTTGGTATTTGATAACCAGCATCTCATTATTATTTCCCGAGAACTAAAAAATGCGACTGTAGCAGACTTTTACCTCGCGTGTTTCAGGCAATATAAGAAGATTCAGGGATCGTCTGTTGGTGATACTCTCCCTAAACCTGGTAAGGCAGACAACGCATTAGGTGCTTAGGTCTGCTGATCCACTTACTTGGATTCACGAGACTTATCAACGCTCATGCAATTCTAAAGAAGGCTTCATTTACAAGAAGCGCATAGTTCAGAATAGTTATGTGCTGTTATTTATGTAAATAAATTATTTTTGAAATAATATTGTCACATTTCTTTCTACAGTGTTTTCATGCCAGTATTATAAATAAAAGTGAATTGTTATTATGAAAAATATCGTATAACAAATGATTCATTGATTCGATTTCTCAGAAAGAGGTTTCCTTCGGTATTAAACTATATTACCCTCTATAAATATTTTAAGGCGTTTTAGGTTTTGAGAAATTTATTTTCAGTTTTTCACAAATAGCACAATTATGTAGGTTGAACTTCAAAGAAAAGGAGTCTGAATATTGCTGTAAATATAGAGTAATTCAAAACTTATATTATCACTTTTACTAGTAACACACACGTTAAGAAAACAATCACGCACCAAGGAGTGGAAAGAATTTCTCAAATTTATTTATTGATAATTACGGAAGATTCATATACGTCAACTATTTAAATAATAAAGCAAAATAATATTATTGCTGAAAAATTGAACACTTGTAGTGAAGTTCTATTGGCTGTTTGCCCACTCTCTCTTGGATACAAGATTTAATACAGAAAGGAATAGAGGCATACAGGCTGAGTATGAAATACGGTTTCTTCTCATACCGTATTAGCTTCAAATAGCTCTACAGATGGTAATAAACGAAAGAGCGATTCTTACAATTATTTGGTTATTCTTGGTTGGTGCCACATACAATTAGATGTGAGTGTAAGTTGATGTTTTTCAAAAAAATCCCAATGACTGACGATCAAGAGAAGCTGCAATACTGAGAAAAGGGAAGGTTGTTCGGGGGCGCAAAAATTCCTGTGACTGAGCTAAAATATGCGATCAGGTCGGAATGGACAGCAAACTCCATTGAAAAAATATATACACTAATCAAATCCATGCTCAAACGAATTTTCCAGGTCATCAGGAGAAATGGATATTTTACTAAATATTAGACATAAAAGGAGAAAGGTTTCTTGATTATCTTCATAATGAATAATCAAAAATCTAAAGTGCTTATATACCTCATTGTTTTATTCCAAAAATAGAATATTTTTGTGTTTTTATTTTTTTAATGCATTTTAAATCTGCATCTTATACGTTCAATAAATCTAATAATACGTCTGTTAAATTATTTAGTTATATAACATTCATGCCTTCATGGGATGTTCTGGCTGATAACAGCAACAACAATTACACCAACAATAATAATTATAATAATGTCTTCTTACTAATATCCATCTCTGTATAGCCCTATTTTGAGGCAACACAACTTGTTTCTATGGTGTCTTCTGTCATTGTGCAAGAACACTTGGCTCCAATGGATAAAAAGATGACATTTAGCGTTTGCCTAAGGAAACAACCTACCACGTTAGAGACACATACTTCCCCCATCCCAGAATATTCACTTGTCACAAGAATCACACTTGGGATTGAAACCGCTCGATTTGAAGCTGTTCTTTTTACACATCGAAAAATTATATCCGTTATAAAGTATTTATGGAAATAACATACACCTGAGTGCATGGAAAAATGCTGTGTACGATGAAAACAATATTAACAAGTTGTACGAAAAAACAAAATGAGATTACTGTTAAGAATAAATTGAAAAAACAACAAATTGTTAAAGAGTTCGTATTTAGCATGGATTGGAAAAATCTTCATGACAGGCTTCTTACTAGAGATTTACCAAATGTTTGATGACAATGAAGTCAATTTATCACTTTCTTGCCTTGGGAAGTTCTACATAAGAAAAGAAAGTAATGAAACCGAGCAACGGAAGACTGCGAATTTTTTAATTTCTTAATTGAATTTTCGTGAAAATCTAGTTTTTAAATGTGAAGTATGTGACATGGTTTCCTTGTAAGGCTTTTCCAATTCATAGTATCTTTATTAAGCTATGTTGCAATCCCATATTACGACATTAATCGGTTATCAACATGAACTGTAAATCTTTTTTGTAAAGTTTGCGTCCTCTGTTGACAGATGACGCACTGTTCACAGATGACTGTGACCTCTGATCACAGACCTTATTGCGATTCAGGAAATCCCCCACGGGCATAATCATATAAAAGGGAGAACTTTCCTCAGGGGGTATTCGACTCATTGATGTATCATTTTTTATTGTAATTAAGGGATCTGTATATTCAACCTTTTAACCTCTCCAAAAAATGGCTTTCGGGTGAGTATATAAGTAAACAATCTTAATGCATGTAAGTGATCGATATATTCGTAGAATAGTTTCAGAATATTTATAGTATAATGCATCCACATTTCATTATGTAATCATACTTAACGTATTTTTTTCCTTCATGCTAAAGGAATATACCTAGTGATCTTTCCATCTCTTTGATGGTCAATCAACATCCCTTCTTTCTTGTGGAATTTAGACTATCATCGTATAACTCTTGATTCATTCATTTTGTTTATCTATATGAACCATTTTTACACTTTTATTCGTGGCACACTATTGGGTATCCTGCCACTCATCTTAATAATTTCATTTCACTGGTTTCTGGTATTATTATCTACTTATAATAATATACGACATATCAGAAAGTAAATGAAGTCGTAGGCTTCCGCGGCCAGAGTCATATGCGTGATCTGGGCTGTCCGGGTGACGCCGCGAAGAAGACTGAGTTGCCGACGTTTCGACCATCCTGTCGTGGTCTTCTTCAGGGCTGGTATGCGCCGTGATGGTCAGCGCTCGTGTGTATATTCAAGTCTAGGCGAAGTACTATTGGCTGAAGCAACGGCCAATCGGAGGCGGCCAGTTAGCAGCGCGGGGGGTCAAATCGGGTGCCGCATGATCGGACGGCACGGTACGGTCCGCCAGGCGGGTCGGAGTGGCTCGGGATCGGACGGCGCGAGCCGGTCCGCGATTGTCCCGCATGGCGTGGCCTGGCGTCGGACGGCGTGAAGCGGTCCGGATCGGTGAGCACCTGGTCGCGTGCCCGAAGTAACGGCTTCCAAGCATCGTGGAGGCGCAACCCTGCGTCGCCGAATCGAATCAGAAAGTAGAATGAGACTGATGGAATGGAACTGATACTGGTCAATGGAATTGCAGGAGGGTATCTGTATTTAGTTTGTTCTTTTCTGGTGGAAATTAATGTAATTATATCTTGTCTTTCTTTGGCATATCATTCGATTGAAGGCTGGTAACTTCATATCCAAAATATTTAAAGTTTGTAAGCAAAATATAGTTTTTAATTATTATTTGGAAGAACATTTTTTGCTTTCCATTATTTGCCATCACTTTTGGTTTTTTTGTGAAGATAATTCCGTTAAATATTTTGTGAGAATTTAATTGAGGTAAATTGATTTTTGTGTATCGTTTTTATAGTTACTTAAATAGACTGACAATTTGTAAAAAGTTGAGAGATGTCATAAACAAGTGCAGAATGCATGTCATGAGTAAGATTTTAATTGCGATATCAATTCTCAGTAATTTTGTCCACGTATATAGTAATTAAAATTATTCTTCTTCCTTGATTGTTTTCTATATATATTGTATATATATGTATATATATTATATATTAATATTATATATATAATATATAAATTATATATATTATATATTATATATACATATACATTTATAATTTTTAAAAAATATATTAGGAAAAAAACATGTACTAGTATTCCTCTTTTGTCGATTTTTTACAATCAATGAAAAGTGCGAGGGTTTCTTATTACATTTTCAATCTTTCTGTAGTATATTTTGTATTGATAAAACGTCTATCATGATCTATCAAGACGAAACACTGTTTTTCTAAAATCACAAGATGTAAAATTGGTTCCAATTTTTCAGGAATTATTTTTAAATAAATATTATATACAGCATTTAGAAGCTATATATCTCTAAATATCTTGGCACGATTATTTATTTATTTACCTCAAAAACAGTTAAAAACTGTGACGTGCTATGGGGAGAAGTTGATTTTGAAGCTACATTTATGTCCAGAAGCTAAACAAGGAGCCATCTCAGCATTTGCTCGAGGATCAGCGATACTGGACGAAAACCAGGTCGAGTTGGGGACGTTGTCCCAGAAGATGATGTACAACACTTGTTACAGATTCTTTACAATTATACAATCCAAATTGTATATAATATATTAAATGTTATTGATAAAATTAATATTACTTTCCTTTTGGATGCTCGGTATAGTCTAATTGTATAGAAACAGGGGTTCAGCAGAGAAGATTTTACTTAGGACTTAAACTTTTGTATTGAATTTAATCGTATAATGTCATCTAGAAAAGTGTTGCAAAATAATGTACATGTATTATATGTGAAATTTTGTAGTGAGCTGTTGATACAGCTACCTGCCCTACCTACCCTAAAAATTTTGTTACCTTAACATCAGACCATGGCATGCCGTTCGTTTTTCGTGAAGTGCCGAGCTGTTTATTTTAAATGGAGAACTGCATTGAAACAGTTTACATTCCATTTACTATTAATTTGTTATTACAAACCAATTTGAAATATATGATATTGTACTATTTACGGTTTCTTTATTGCAAAGAATATTAGCATCATTCGCACAGAGAACTGTTCTTCCGTTTCTAACCGTCGAGGGCATATTGTTTACGTACTGTAGGAAGATAATAGGGCCTAAACTCGATTCCTGCGGAACTCAACATGCAATTGGCAAAGAATCAGAAAAGTGTGTTCCATTATTCCAGTAAGATATTTCTCTGAGGTACTCTCTGAGATCGTTGTTTAAGGTGTGAACATAACCAATCTGGAGCAGAACAACGAATTACATACGAAGGTAATTTTGAGAGTAAAATGTCATGATCAAAGCCGTCAAAAGCTTTTGAAAGATCTAAAAATATTCCAGTTGGTGCTTCGTTTTGATCAATGGATAAGGAGACATCTTAAAGAAAAGAAACTATGCCGTTTTCGTTGATTTTTATTTTCGACATCCATGTTGGCAACCTACAAATGCGTCGTGTTTGCTAAGAAAAGTTTCCATTCGTACGTAAAAAATTATCTCTAATATTTTAAAAAAACGACAAAAGAGAAATTTGTAGATAGTTTTCAATTTAATTTTTGTAGCCTTTTTTTGAAAAGGGGCCTACAATTGGCTGATATCAAAAGATCTGGAAAAAGTCCTGTGCGTAAGGATACATTAAATATGTGAGATAACGGGTGTGTGTAATGGCGGGCGCGCAAACTTTTAACAAAATTCGGAAATTCGTCTAAACCGGGCGAATATTTCCTTTTTAGTCTACCGATTATTTTGAGAATATTATAGAAAGAAGTTTCGGAAGCAAATATCTTGCATGAATTTGTTGGGAAACGTCTAATGCTGAATTTTGTGACTGAAGACCCTTATTTAGATCGGCAGCAATTCTCGAAATTGGTTAAAGAGACTAGCCACTGTGGCCGGATCGTTCACCGGTTTCTAGTTGATTTGGTCAAAATTTTTACTATATTCCACATTGCTTTTGTTTTATTACTTGTGTTCAAAATATCCTGGTCATGTTTCGTGATTTTAGCCTGCCGTATGATTCTTGACAGCGATGATGACAGCGATTTGTATTTTTTAAAGTAGAGGAGAAAACCTTGTGATACGTTTTGATGCATAGAAATTAAAGAAATAATCCCTTTGTTTTTACTTGATGTCCTAATCTCTTGTGTCATCCAAGAATTGCTTTTCCGTGAAATATTTAATTTTCTCTGTTGAAGAGGAAAGCAAGTTTTGAAAAGAAATGAAAGCGTTGAAAAAAAAGAAAGAATTTGTGAAAAGACGTGCACCGTCCCTTTTTATCCATTAACTAGCGGGACCCGGTAGACGTTGTTCTGCCCTTTATATCCCTTTCTGTTTCTTTGTCTCTCCCTCTCCCCTATCAAAAATGTAATAGAATGTTTAAAAAAATCTCATCTTGCAGATGACAGTGTGAGAAACCTTTTAGATGCCGTTGGCCTCAATATTTTAATTTTCAATGTCATGAACGCTCCATGTACGATTCAAGAATTTCTCCCGAGTTGAATTTTACATGGATATTTAATGGAGTTTTAATAAATTGAAATGGGTTGTAACTGGCAGGTGACAGTCCTTTTGTCAGTACGACACGGTTAGAACACTTTCGTTTCACTAATCAAAAAAGAAACACTGCAAAAAACCTGACTATTGTCTGTATTTAATAAAACCTACTCATATCAAATGTAAAAAGTAATTACTTACTATTAAGACCAAAATGAGTTAATTTAGTAAAAACAGTTTTTATTTACAAATTACGAGTATACACAGAAAGTCGATAGCCACAAAATAATCAGGAGATTTGCTTGGGACTTACTTATTCCCCAAAATCCGAAGAGATGTGTAAAACACGATGCCGTGGTCACGATCCAAATACCCTTAGAGAAATCCGTAATACTGGCCGGCAGCGTAGTGCCTCAATACTTGCACTCTCGTAGGGCGCACTATGATGGAACGTCTGGAACTCTCCTCTCTGCTCGCTGCGCACCGCTTTATACCCGGTCAGGGTTGAGGCTCGCCGACAGGCCCGGCGTACGGCCGATGGCGCGCTCGGTCGCGCCGACCGAAGTGTGACGGCTCCGCTGAGCCCGACCTCAGCGACCTCTCACGAGCGGTGCCCTTACATTGACAGATACAATGGTCAGATTTCATTAAGGTTCCCTAAGAATGTAGTGTTAACTATTTGCCTCGATAGTAATGTTTGTGACTTAATGGCCTAAATCTTTTTCAATTATTGTGCTTACGCATTCTTGATTTTCCTATACTTTTTCAGGTTTCAAGACAATGTATACGTCAAATCATGAATCAAAATTCAGAATGGGTTTGTGGTATTGCCACTAACTTTTACAGGATATTCCCTTCTTAATTCTCGCATAGAGGCATTGTTCCAGTTCTGTAGCGTGGGCGCCGTTCCTGCAGGTGTGCACAAAAGACACAGGGCGTGGGCGCTGGCAATCGCGCTGGTGTCGGTGGTTCCGCGGAGCAAAGAGGATTGTTCCAGCGCTGGAGGGTGAGCTCGGTGCCTGCTGGTGTGCGCAGAAGGCGCGTGGCGTGGGCTCTGGTGCTGGCGTGCGTGGCGAGGCGGGGGCTAAACGAAGGATTGTTCCAGCGCTGAGCGTGAGCGAGGTGCCTGTTGCTGTGCGCAGAAGGCGCGGTGCGTGGGCGCTGGCGCTGTTTTTGGCGTGCGTGGCGAGGCGGGGGCTAAACGAAGGATTGTTCCAGCGCTGAACGTCAGCGAGGTGCCTGTTGCTGTGCGCAGAAGGCGCGGGACGTGGGAGTGGGCGCTGGTGCTGGCGTACGTGGCGTCGTTGGGGTTAAACGAAGGATTGTTCCAGCGCTGGAGCGTGAGCGCGGTGCCTGTTGGTGTGCGCAGAAGGCACAGGGCGTGGGCGCTGGCGCTGGTGCTGGCGTGCGTGGCGGGACGGGGGCTAAACGAAGGATTGTTCCAGCGCTGGAGCGTGAGCGCGGGGCCTGTTGGTGTGCGCAGAAAGCGAGTGGCGTGGGCGCTGGCGCTGGTGGCTGGCGTGCGTGGCGGGCGGGGGCTAACGAAGGATTGTTCCAGCGCTGGAGCGTGAGCGGGGTGCCTGTTGGTGTGCGCAAGGCGCTGGCGTGCGCCGGCGCTGGGTGCTGGCGTGCGTGCGTCGTTGGGTTAAACGAAGGATTTTTCAGCGCTGAGCGTGAGCGCAGTGCCTGTTGGTGTGCGCAGAAGGCGGGTGCGTGGCGCTGGCGCTGGGGCTGGCGTGTGTGCGGGCGGGGGCTAAACGAAGATTGTTCCAGCGCTGGAGCGTGCGCGGTGCCTGTTGGTGTGCGCAGAAGGCGCGCTGCGTGAGCGCTGGTGCTGGCGTGCGTGGGGGCTAAACGAAGGATTGTTCCAGTACTGGAGCGCGAGCGCGGTGCCTGTTGGTGTGCGGAAAGGTGCGTGGCGTGGGCGCTGTGTGTGGGTGCGTGGCGTCGTTGGGTTAAACGAAGGATTGTTCCAGTGCTGGAGCGTGAGCGCGTGCCTGTTGGTGTGCGCAGAAGGCGCGGGCGTGGGCGCTGGCGTGGTGCTGCGTGGTGTGGCGGGGCGGGCTAAACGAAGGATTGTTCCAGCGCTGGAGCGTGAGCGGGGTGCCTGTTGGTGTGCGCAGAAGGCGCGTGGCGTGGGGCTGATGCTGGTGCTGGCGTGCGTGCGGGGCGGGGGCTAAACGAAGATTGTTCCAGCGCTGGAGCGTGAGCGCGGTGCCTGTTGGTGTGCGCAGAAGGCGCGGTGCGTGGCGCTGGCGCTGGTGCTGGCGTGCGTGGCGGCGGGGCTGGTGCGCGCGCAGCAGTCCGGCGCGTGGCGGCGAGCGTGGCGGTGGGCACCAGCGGAACGCCTCGGCCACTGGAGGCGCAGGTGGTGCTGGAGCGCCGGTCGGAGGCGCCCGGGCGCGGGGCGGGCGAGGTGCGGCTGGAGGTGGAGCCCTCTACTGCTATCTGCGGGGGCGCTCGCGTCGACGCACTCACGCTCACCATCAGAGGTGAGAAACAAACTACATAACTATCAAACTATATCTACCACTTTGATGCATTACACATTCCTACACAGAGTTAGTTTTAAAGTTTTTCCAGAGTCTTGTACTTTGTTTTCTTACCGAATATTCGCCGTGTTTTCGTGCAGCATTTCATAACTTGCATTCTACTGCGTAAGCGGTCGTGAGAAAATAACACTGTGCAAATAATGCCAATGAAAATTTCAACTTGACTTACTATCTTACATTTGGTGGCATGTGAGCTTTCTGCATTTGTAACATGGAGATATGGCGAGCCCAATTACGTATATGCGGTGTATCCAATTGTTGGTACTCCGAAATACTTTGGAGTTTCACGTCGGATTTGGAACGCTTAGGTACTTCTAGACGGGTTGTTAGGAGGTCTGCGTCATTGTAAACGGAGATCGCAAATGTTAGGGTTGAGCGTCACTGCTTTGTACGAAATAAGGGCCGTGAGAAAACACTTTGAAAATATTTGTGCTACGGATTGCGCTTTTCGCATTTTAGTGGTACATGAAGCCATTAGAAGCATTCAATGTCCAATCTAAACTTGTAGTGCATTTCCCCTTCAAATCCAGAGAGGGGTGTTCATGCGCAAGCGCGAAGCGTTGATACGAAAACGGCTTCATACGAAAATGTGCTTGCAAGTTTTTTTCTATCAAATAACCGAGAATGGTATTATGCTTATTTTCTTCACTACTTATTACTTTTTGACGTTTATATTCTCACTAAATTCCCCTCACTTAACCATCTTAGCGAAGTGACCGGAATATGATTGAATGGCGATTTTTTCCTTGTTTTCGTTTTTTCTTAGGTTAGTAAATCGTTCAGTTACTTATTACATTAAGCAATAATGTGAACTAAATTAACAAATCTCTATAAGTTAACAATTATGTTTATGGAAGGACAGCGCTTTTAACAGATAAGAATATTTGTTTATTAAAACTCACCTGAACGTATAAAGTTCAAGCATTTCAATCACTCTGGAGTAAACAGGATTACAAAATCAAAAGACGTTTGGTTGAAAGATTTTAATTTGACTCTCAATTGAGAATTTGAAATCGGACTGAGGTATTATTTCATTTAAATGGATCATTTATTTGCCTTAAAGAAAAAATAGTAATTAATATAGCTAAATTTGTAACAATAAATGCCTAGTAATTTTTCCCAAAGACTGAGATAGTTCAGGTATCCAGGGACGTAACTCCATTCCATGGCATTTGTACAACACTTTCAAATCTGGCGCTAGTTTCTCTGGACGCAGTGTCCGGAAGCTGTGGTAAGCTTGTTACCTTGTCCGCTTGAATTGCTTTGAAATGCTTGATTTAAGAGGACATGGAATACCTTATCCTGGCAATGTTAAATGTTTGAATCTAATTTTCAGAATCTATTAAAGTTAGCCTTTTTATTTTTTTTTCAGTTTACAGATATATTGCTCATAATAATACTGAAACAACGATTTTAAAAACGTAACTATTTTTGTAGATTAAAATATTTTTTTCACAATGGAATTTATTACAGCATTTTCAGGTAAATAAACTTTTGCAGAATAATGAGGTAATCAGGAAAAATGTTTCAGTAGATGAAGAAGACCTTTATTAACAATCGAAAATTTCAATTTCCTCTTACAAAAAACAAGTTGAGAAAAAGATAACTTAGTATTTAAAATATCAACTTTCGGAAAATAAACTTTAAAGATGCAACTCTTCAAACACGTCAGCTCGATAACTTGCTTTATCAGAACTTGTCCCCTGCTAGTATGCATACTAGTGAGCAATGTTCTGATACACATTTTCCAGTAACTACTTCCTTTTGAGACTTTTTTATGTCTGTTCGCTTCATAAAGTTTTCAATTTACTTTCTGCAGGTCTAAGTCTTTTAGTATTTGTGTAACAGTATCTGAAAGTATTGGAGTCAGACCTAAGCCCAATGAGAGGATGACTTCACATACAAATTTTAAAAAAATAATTGTAAGAAGGATAAAGGGATATTCAAACGCCAATTTTAAAGAAATAATCTGAGATCAATAAAGGTGAATAAAAAATAAAATACGAAAAAACCTATTTTTAATACAAAATCATTTCCAATCAAGTCCAACTTTGTTTATGTCCACAAGAATGTATATGGCTCTGATGACACCGCCTCGTTAAATTCATTCGCAGGTCCTCCGCCGCCTCCAGACCCAGGGTATGTGAGTGTTCCTGGCGTAGGATACTACCGCATTCACAAGGAACTGCACACATGGGCAGAGGCGAAGGCGATTTGCGAAGCAGAGGGCGGCCATTTGCTCATCATCAACTCGGAGGCAGAGGACAAAGCGATTCAGCAATTGTTGAAGCAAGAACAGAATATTCCCAGATTTATGTTTATAGGATTCAACGACATGAACAAAGAGGGCTCCTACATCACAATTTTTGGTAAGTTTTCGCAAATAAAATAGCGCTTTTAATTTGAATTTATTTTCCTGCCTGAAATATATGTCTGAAATAATTATGATAATACCAAAACCAATTTGGAAACTAAAATATCTGGATAAAAGTTTTTGAAAATACGTTTATTTTTCTGAATATGACCATTCACTTCTTATTATTTAATTTGATTCCCTAAATATTACGGTTTAAAACAAATGTTTTCTTTCGCATGGTAATTCTCGCTTGTACTAAATCAACTTACCAACGAAAAAATGCAAATTCCAGAAAAGCCAGAAGAGGTTTTTTCACCATCTCAAATAACTATCATCTTCACAATCAAGTAACTGTAGATAAAGTGCAGATAATCACGTAACTGATATTTTATTTCTACTATCTGTAATGAAGGAACTTCTATCTTCAATTACGGAGAAAAACTTCAGAATATTATTTCGTTGCTAGCATCTCGTCAATAGTATCTCCTGAGGACTTCATCTCAAGAAGCAGATGAGGCAGACATATTTGTTTACCACGTGTTTTTCAGGGGATCCGGTGTCTGCCGGTTATGCACGTTGGAATCCTGGTCAACCAGACAATGGAGGAAATGTTGAAGACTGCGGGTCCATATACACGGATACAGTAGGTCTCAACGACCTTCCGTGCAGTTCAAAAGTGGGCTTCATTTGCGAGCAACGCGTAGTTTAGAATTATTTTCTGTGTGCTTTCATTTATGTAAATAAAATATTTCTCAAACATATTGATGGTTCTTTTTTTACTACCTTCGTGCCTGATTATGTAAAAGAAAAATATTTACTGACACAAATACAGTTGGATATCAAATAAGGCAATCATAGGATTCATAAAAAAGAGTTGAATACAGTTGTATATGAAATAATATACTCATTGGGTCACCAAAAAGAGATGATATTTTTACGTTGAACAATAATATCTAAATCTATCTAAATATTTTGGGTTCATTTAAGTATATTTAATTATACAAAATAGTAACATTTTATGAAGGGCGGTTTGCTTTGAAAAAATATATGTAAGTACTGGTATTGTGATATAAACAGCGCCTGATTTATGAAATTTCAGGTCTCGGAACGCGCCTCAAACTTATTATTAATTTAATACAAATTGATATGTATTATAACTTAATAATCATAAATCGTATAGTTAATTAATAATCACATATTAATCATAAATATTAATAATACTAGATAAAAATTTGATTTGTAATGGTATTTTATCGTTTTTTATTCATAATTTTATTACATTCATAGAATTGATGCTGTTAGTGGAAAATTAATTTTGAGTTTACGAAAGAAGGTCGAACTAAAAAAGTTCTCCAGTGTATGTCTTCTGCTTTTTGTTTATATGTTTTTCTATTTTGTTCCTGAGGTATCAGAACGCCGATCCACCGGATTCCACCAGAAATCAAAAGTTGGTTATAACTCGAATGTGAATGTGAAATGACACACCACAGTTTTATTACCGTATTTACGCAAATAAAACCTTGTCATGTGGCGCCTAGCAGTTGTTTGATTAAATTATGTATCACAATTACATAAAAAAATATTTGCTACGGTGGTACACAAAATGTTAGATCTAATAACGCAGCATAGTTGACCAAAAATAACAAGGCATTGGCAATCTTCGTCGTCTTCAATGGTCAAATTTTAATCTCGGCCCTTTAGAATATATTTCCGCCATCCTTGCCTGTCTTCAGCTATCGTGCCTGTCCATCGTAATATCTGCAATCATTCACACTCTGCTACAGGCGACTCCTCATACAGTTAATATATGTTTGTTATGGCTTGTCTTTCATAGGTCGTTTTCTTGTATGGGGCCTAGAATTCGCCTTAACGCTTTCCTTTCAAAGATGTTAATGTTATTCTTCATATTTTTATTGAGCACCCACGTTTCACATGCATAACACATTTTTGGCCGTATAATAGAATTACTTCCCGGTGTATTTCCCATTTCTTGGCCGGAAGATGTGTGACGGGCTAAAATATGCTCGATTGGGCAGGGTTATCCTTCTTCGTATGTCGTCTTCATTCCCATGGCTTTTCGTCAGCACTCCTAAATGTATCGGATTTGATGGTATAATGGTTATTATGCCGGTCTACTTATCCCTGTCCGGTTTAAACCCGGTCAAAGTGGGGGGAATTTTGAGGCGCCAAAAATTGAAGGCATGCGGTCGCTTGTCGGCATGTAAAACAGACTTCAGGAAAGACAATTCGCCGATCCTGGCAAAACTAAATACTCTAGAAATTCAGCACCAATCAGTGTTTTGATTGGAATTACTGGATAAGATTATGGATATTATATCTTGACCTGCGCTATCTGGTATTCAAATAAAAACGACAATATTGGCGTACTAGTGCCCCTAGAGAAAGCAATGGCAAACTACCCTAGATACTTGCTCAGGATAAGTCTCACAAGAAAGCGCTAGGGGCTTTCGGAGACTAGCATACGCACTAATCAGTGTACGGCATTAAAAGAAGAATATGTTGATCATCACTCTCAAATAGGTGAATCTCTCCACTGCTTCTATATCCTCTTCTGTGATGGCCTTTGGGGTTATATTTTTTCTTGATTGTACCATAGATTTCGTTTTCTGTTCGCTTTTTTGAAGTCTCATCCAACTGACCTTGTCTTTTAGTTGTGAATACGTTTCCTGTGCACCCCTTAATGTAAGACCCACGATATTTATATCATCGCGTATTCCGCTAGTTCTATGGTTTTGTTTAGCCTACTTCCATTTGCCTCATTCCACAGTCAAATTAAAAAGTGTCGGTGTCATTTTCGATGCCATATTTGAAATATTCTAAAATTCGCAGAACGAGCACACTTGCCCGCTTTCCCCTTTCTCCAGCAAACTCCGGGGCCTCTTCGGCGTTCACATAACTTGCGGGAAGCAGGTTGCAGAAACTTGCCAGCTCTCGCCATTACGCTTGCTCTTTCTTGCAGGCAGCACAACTCGGCTACTCTCTGTCTCTGCATGGCGAACAAACGCCTCGATCTGCTCGAGTTTCTCGAGAGGTTACTGTGCCCCTTTAACACGTGTGTGACTGTGTTTCGAAATTCATTCGCCTACCCCAACCTGCTATAACAGTGTAGCTAGTCAAAGTTGCCAAGTGTTATGTCGATTCTACCATCGAGCATTTTTTATCCCTGATGACTGGTTGCTCGTCTGTTACATTGTGGAGGCATGCCGATTGGAAGAAGAGTTATCTTCTAATATGAAACAATGATTCATTTCTTCCCGATACGTCAGAGAGCCCATGTATAGATCAGCGAAATAAGCTGACTCTGTGGTCAACAATGCACCGAAGCACATTACCGAAGTAATAGCTTAATAATCAACATAAATTATAATAAAGTTCTCACATTTTACGGAAAAACGGCACGAGAGAAGTTCAGAAACAAAAAGAAATGTTACTAGCCCACTATTTAGAAAATTTGACAGCAAATAACACACGACTACTTATTATGAAAAGCAATTAAAAGACTAAAAGAAACAAACAATTACTGAAATGCCACCTATTAAACAGATAAATGGTTCTTAGGCGCGAGATTCAAAACGGGAGGAAGAAACCTTTTCGGAATACCTTTCAGAGATCTTCCAGTCCAATGATGTCCATTAGGAAAATACGCAATTCATAGCTTCATCCACAGTGAGCCGGTAGCGTTATTCAAAAACATTTATCAACCACTTACTTTTAATGATTTCTCTCAAAGTTGAAACTTCGAAATAGGTACAATAAGCTTTGCAATATATTATATTGCAACAAGAAAAAGCAAGAACAGAAAAACACTATCCAAACCTATTGCAGTCATAAATCGAATCAAATGCAAGTGCAATAACCCACTTGAAATACAGCCACGACGTAAAAAGTCGTCCATAAATTACGTAACGTTGAAGATGGGGAGGGATTTTGAGGCAGCAGTACGCTGAGTTACATACGAGCAGGGAGTTTTCGATTAGTGTTACGTAGCATTGAACTTTTCATTTTTTTTTATCATTTGTTGAAATACTTCCTTTTATAGTCTTATACTAAAGCATTAAAATATTATCTAATTAGTTTTTAAACAAAAATAATTTAAAGTCTTGAGTTGTTACAATGAATGTAAATATTTTTTCCAATACTGATATCCAAAACTGATCTATAGTATTATGTAAAATACATTTCAATTGGCGCAGTAGATTCTAGTCCATGCGCCATCCAAAACGGCGGCGTGTGCACGACTTCGGAATTTTCTCGCCCGTGCGACCTTCCTTCACTTAAAATTTGTCCCCAATCTTCTTAGGTGCGGTCAGCATTGACATCTAATTCAGATTTTAATTATCATACATTTTAATACACAATCTAAATAAAATTAATACAATTTGTTACTGAGCTTTAATTTCGTTTCACTTGTTGCATTTATAAGGGGAGGGTCGCAAGCGCTTCGTGATTGTTTAGGGGGAGTTCAATCGCGTTACGTGTGCGTTGCAGGAGGAGATGGGTGTCCAAGATACTCCAATGTGGCGTTACGTAATTTATGGACGACCCTTAAGTAGATAAATTCGAGAACAAATATTCCATACTATTTTTTTTAATATTCCACATCTGAACTACTTCATTAACTATACAGAATGTCTGAAACATGAATTTGAATGTTCTTTAGCTTCCCAGGATAATTTGTCTACATGATATTGTCAAAATAAACAGATTCTTTGTGCAAATTCCAGCCATCATCACGTGTTTATTTGTATTCAAACTGCCAAATATATAAAAAAATAATAAAATTTTAAAGAGATTTTGACATTAAATAAACATTTAATGCATTTGTAACGAAGATTAGATGTAGCCTATCATACAAGTTTTCATTTTTGTGACACATCATGCCTCTGAGCTCATGCACTATCACGTTATATCACGCTGTAAAGAGGGTTATCAATGTAAACTAGAAACCCTGTTTCATACGAGGTCTTGTGTACTGTGATGACACTGACCTTATTATCTTTCAGAAAACCCCAAGCTGTATGAACATATAAAAGAGAAAAAGATGATGTAGAAATCCACGCTTCCAATCTCTCCATATGATGTCTTGCGGGTGAGTCAGCAAATAACATAGGATCATCTGCATTGTACTTCAATTCAAGCAGAATGGCACTTCAAGGTCACGAACTGGGAGGGGGACACTGCCATTCAATCGGGTGCTTCGTGGCAACTTGCATTTGTAGTTGAAGATCCCGATTAGATGACAACGTCTCCTCTCCTTGTGAATTTGAAGTGACACTCTCTTTAAATCGTAATATTTACAAGATATTTATAGATTGTTTAAACAAATAAATTAGATGTTTATCTTCAATTAAAACTATATTATATCAAATGTTAATTAAATACTGATTGCCATAAATTACATACTAGAATGAAACCCAACCGAAAGACCACATAGATTATGGGTTCTTGTCTATTAGTGGCGAAATATTTGTGGAAAATTTTCGTTGAGATGAATTTTTCGAAAATAAACTTGTAAATACTCCCTCTTTACAAACGGGCTCCTGGTTACACGGTCTGGCACATTTTGAAGATTAACATATGTAAAGTATTGAAAACTTCCAGAGAATTTTGCGACATAAAGACACTTGAGTACAAGAAGAAGAAAGAAAGAATTTTTCTTGATTATTTTGCTTCAATGTGTCATATTGGCAGCTTATTTAGTAAAGAGACATGTGGAGGCACTCTCCCGGGGGATTGTTTTGTTTTAAATAACAGTAGCTACATGCCTAAATAATCTAGAGGGTCTTCAGAGTGTGGATTGAAGCTTAGAGTCTTGTTGCGAATCAGGTCTAATTGGAAGAGTCAAACAGAAGTGGAAAAAGTGCAAAATGAATTTTTCGATTTCGTATACCAGTTGTCAAAATTATAGAAATGTTTCGGTATTTTGTGTTCTAGGTGAAAATAATAAGAAGGTTAAACCAAACGTTTATTTACGAGTATATCATATGACTAATGCTGTTCGCAATGAAATTAGATAAGTCGAGACGCTGGTGCTGGTGGTGGTGGCGCCGGTGTTCATGGCGGTGCTGAGTGTAAATTGAAGGATTGTTCAAGCGCTGGAGCGTGAACACGGTGCCTGTTGGCGTGCGCAGAAGGCGCGAGGCGTGGGCGCTGGCACTGTTGCTGGCGTGCGTGGCGAGGCGGGGGCTAAACGAAGGATTGCTCTAGCGCTGGAGCGTGAGCGCGGTGCCTGTTGGTGTGCGCAGAAGGCGCGGGGCGTGGGCGCTGGCGCTGGTGCTGGCGTGTGTGGCGGGGCGGGGGCTAAACGAAGGATTGTTCCAGCGCTGGAGCGTGAGCGGGGTGCCTGTTGGTGTTATTTTGCTTCAATGTGTCAATATTGGCAGCTTATTAATAAAGCAGACATGTTGGAGGCACTCTCCCGGGAATTTTTTGTTTTAAATAACAGTAGCTACATGGCCTAAATAATCTAGACGGTCTTCAAGTGTGAATGTGAAGCTTAGAGTCTTGTTCGCGAATCAGTTCTAAATTGAACAGAGTCAAACAGAAGTGAAAAGTGCAAAATGAATTTTTCGATTTCGTATACCAGTTGTCAAAATTATAGAAAGTTTCGTATTTGATGTTCTAGGGTGAAAAAATAATAAGAAGGTTAAAACCAACGTTTAATGTAACCGAGATATATCATTGGACTAATGCTGGTCGCAATGAAATTAGATAAGTCGAGGACGCTGGTGCTGGTGGTGGTTGGCGCCGGTGTTCATGGCGTGCTGAGTGTAAATTAAGGATTGTTTCAAAGCGCTGAGCGTGAACACGGGTGCCTGTGGAGTGACGTTGGCGCAGAAGGCGCGAGGCCGGGGCGCTGCACTGTTCTGCGTGCGTGGCGAGCGGCGGGCAAGACGAAGGATTGCTCTAGCGCTGGAGCGGTGAGCGCGTGCCTGGTTGTGTTGCGCAGAAGGCGCGGCGGCTGGGCGCTGGCGCTGTGCTGGCGTGTTGTGGCGGGGCGGGGCTAAACGAAGGATTGTTCCAGCGCTGGAGCGTGAGGGCGGGTGGCCTGTTGGTCGCAGAAGGCGCGTTGAGGCGTGGGCCTGATACTGGTGCTGCTGCGTGCGGGGTGGGGGCAAAACGAAGATTGTTCCAAGCGCATTGGTGAGCGTTGAGGCGGCTGCCTGTGTGTGCGCAGAAGGCACGGGGCGTGGGGCGCTGCCGCTGGTGGCTGACCCTGGTTGCGGGGCGGGGGCTAAACGAAGGATGTTCCAGCGCTGAGCAGTGCTAGCGGGTAGCCTGTTGGTGTGCGCAGGAAGGCGCGTGCGGGGCGCTGATGGCTGGTGCTGGCGTTTGCGTGGCGGCGGGGGCTAAACGAGGATTGTTCCAGCGCTGCTGAGCGTTGAGCGCGGGTGCCTGTTGGCGTTGCACAGGGAAGGCGCGAGCGTGGGCCGTGGACGCTGGTGCTGGCGTGCGTGCGGGCGCGGGGGCTGGTGCGCGCTCAGCAGTGCCGGGGCGCGTGGCGGCTACGAGCGTGGCCGTGGGCACCAGCCGGAACGGCCTCGGCCACTGGGAGGCCAGGTGGTGCTGCGAAGCGCCGGTCGGAGGGCCGGGAC